CTAGTAACTAACATTTCATTCTTTTCACGGAGAGACCTTTAGAGGTCTTTATTCCTCTGATAAAACATCCAGTGACTAAAACCACTGGGTTCTGGGACTAAGGTCAGGATATCAGGAGGAGATAAAAATACTTGGAGACCTCCCTAAGAACCAATTCCAGTTACATTGTGCTTGAATTGAAGAGAGAGAGAGAGAGAGAGAGAATAGAATACACCAGATCATCCCAGCCTCCCAGGGGGCTGAAGAAGGAGCTTTCCCAGCCTCTTCTAACACTGACTTCAAAATAAAAGACATAGGGCTGGGATTCTTTAAGTTTTCATCTAATTTAAATATAGGAGATATTTAGATAACCGTCATGAGAAAAACCCATTCTAACATCCCAGTAAATGCGACTTAGAAAGTTATTTCAATTACAGCACCCTTCACTTTACTTTGAGTTCTTATAGGTACCACCTCCAGCCCCACAGATAATTCTGTCCTGCAGTGGGACAGTTATAAAGAGGTCAGCAAAGCTCCCAAGACAGAGAATGTTTCAACTTCTTAGTCCCACTTGTCCCTGCCCAAGTATCAGCCCTGTGAATCAGTTGTAGTAACTGTCTTGCAAGAGCACTGGGCAGCTCGGGCTTTTTTTTCTTGTACTGAAGTATTACCTGTCCTAGGAAAGTTAAGAATACAATACCATTTTTGGAGGTGGGTGGTGCTGGGTGGGATGGGGACTCAGGCACATGAAACAAATGTTAGTTGGGCTTTGGTGACCCTTTCCCATGGAAAGGGGCAACACTAGTAAGAACAGAGAGGAGGCTGGGAGCAGTGGCTCACGCCTGTAATCCCAGCACTTTGGGAGGCCAAGGCAAGAGGATTGCTTGAGCTCAGGAGTTCGAAACCAGCTTAGACAACATAGTGAGATCCCCATCTCTACAAAAATGTTAAAAATCAGCTGGGCATCGTAGTAGTACATGCCCATAGTCCCAGCTACTTGGGAGGCTGAGATAGAAGGATTGTCTGAGGCTGGGAGGTCGAGGCTGAGGTGAGCCATGGTCATGCCAGCCTGAATGACAGAGTGAGACACTGTCTCAAAATAAGGAAAAAAGAAAAGAAAAGAAAGAAACAGGGAAAGTGTCAATACCAGACACTACTTATATGTAGGCCCAGCAGGCTCTGGCCTCCGTGGAGTTATTTAAAGGGCCCTTACAAGACCTGCTATAAACAAAAATAATTTTAATGGCCGAAAGTTCATTATTGAGCATATGTCTCCAGAAGACACTTTCTTTTTGTAATATTTTTAAATGTTTAATATTTTTATTTTTATTTACTTATTTTGAGACAGGTTCTCCCTCTGTCACCCAGGCTGGGTAGTGCAGTGGCAAGCTCACTGCAGCCTTGAACTCCTGGGCTCGAGGGATTCTCCTGCCTTAATCCCCAGAGTAGCTGGGACTACAGGCATGCACCACCACACCTGGCTGATTTTTTAATTTTTAATTTTTTTTTTTTTTTTTTTTTTTTTTTTTTTTTTTTTTTTTTTTTTTTTTTTTTTTTTTTTTTTTTTTAGAGATAGGCAGGGTCTTGCCATGTTGCCCAGGCTGGTCTCAAACTCCTCACCTCAAGCAGCCCTCCTGCCTCAGCCTCTCAAAGTGCTGGGATTACAGGTGTGAGCCACCACATCCAGCCAGCCAGACACTTTCTTTTTCTTAGAAGATACTCTAAATATATAAATGTCGTTTGAGAAGATGAAAGAAGAAATCATTCTCATTCACCAGTGCCCGTGGGGTAGTGGGATGGGAGGGGAAAGAATGGGAAATTGAAAGAGGAGACCCAATCCAGTAAGGGCAGGGAGGTAGCCTGTGGTTCCTAGGAAGTCCCTTTCCCTGCACTTGCTAAGTGCTGCCTGTCTCTAAGCTCTGGGGTTCTAGATGCTCCCCTGCAGGTTGAGGCAGGAAGACAGAGGCGCAAGCCAAGCTGTGGTTGCTGTAGGGAGGAAGGAGGTGTTGGTTCTGTGGCAGGAAGAGGAAGCCAGGGGCCCTGCTAAGAGGCTGACTCACCCCACATCCACTCATTTTGGGGCTGGGTCTACCATTTGTTTTTTTGAGGATGGCAGAAGAGGGGAAATGGGAGAAAGACTGCCTGAGAGGTCAGAAGGAACTGCTATGAAGAGATCTGAATTGGCTGAGCTCAGTCACAGAAAAAAAGGCAGGTGCCCTTTCCTTCTTCTTACCCCTAACCAGATTTTATTTCAATTTCAAGGAAAGGTTGAATATAGCCTGGGAGGGCTGTTGCTTAATGCAGAGGAAAGATAGCACCAAGTGAGTTGCCAGGTCTTTCCTCCTGCTCTGTCTAGTGATTTCTATTCCTCCTTAGTGGAGAGAGCATAGCATGGTGGTTTAGAGTCTGGGCTTCAAATCCTGGTCCTGCTGCCTTCTAGCTGCTGTCTTGGGCAAGTATATTTAATCCTTCTGTGCCTCAGTTCCCTTATCTGGACAAGTGGGCTAATAGCATCTACCCTCACAGTATTCTTGTGACAAATAAATGATTTACTACTTGGACAGTGCCTGGAAAAATGCCTGGCAAGTATTAGCCATTACAAAGGTCAATGTAATTATGCTGCTTTATAGGTAAGGCGACTGATGACAATTCGCCAGGGACAATCAGGGGCCGAGAAGGGGTTGGACTTCCTGTTGGTGCTGTGCCCGCAATATTTCACAGCCTTGTTTTTAAAAGATAAGTTGCCTCTGTGATCACTCCTCTTTTCTAAGCATAGCATGGGATTTCAAATGATAAAATTTCAGCAGGCTGCCTTCCCAAGGGATGCCAAGAAACATGAGCTGTTAGACTTGGGTTACAGTAAATCACCTTCCATTAAGTTCTGGTTCTGGTTGGTCAGACAGCTGTTCCATTTGCTAAAAATAGATATTTTTGCCTTTCTGTCTGACCTGCAAATGACAGGATCATCTATGGACAGACTCTCCAAAGTGTGCCTCTGGCTTGATTAGTAAAAATAATTTTGGACTTGGGGTCCAGTATCTTGGTTGTAGGGTCTATTGGATCCATTGCAAGCTTCTAAACCTCAACTAACCATGGCTCAGAGTGACAGGACAAGTGCCTGATGATCTGGTATATAAATGGGAAAAATAAGAACATCTCTGCTTTAGAGCTGAGATTAGAGGTGTGAAGTGCTTTGGGGCCAAATAGGAGAAATGCTAGATCAGGTCCAAGGAGTCTATCATGAATAAAGGATTGTCTTTCCATGACCAAAGGGAAAAGAGAAGTCAGAGTTTGGACAGCGTTTGAGAAGTCGGCTAACAGCTCCAGCATTGCACCTGTGGTTAACAACCACAGGCAGTGTCGCATTCTTTACCTGGCATTTTGGGGGACAATATGGGAACATTTAAAATATAGATAAATCAATGAATGCACTTAGGGGGACACTGGCTGCCGCTCCCATCAGCTGTAATGTCAGCTATCTGCCGTCTTATAAAACTCCAGGAAAGGCCTCTAAACCTTAGAGCCAGAGAATATTTTTTTAAAATCGTAACCAAATCTCCCTGGCATCGTGCAGTGTGAGTTCTGCAGCTCCGGGGACGCTGCAGTGTGATGTGGTGGAGAGAGCATGCTTCACGGCTCCTGCCATCCTGACGGCGCCCTCCCACCCGGCCTCAGCCTCCTCGTTTGCCAAAACCGGAGGACTGAATTTACGGCTAGCTGATCTCTGGGGTGCCTTCCAGCTCTGACATTCCCGCCTAGAATAGATCTTCCTGGAGGCTTCGCAGGCAGACCAGAGCGGGCAGAGCCGGGAAAGCGAGACAGCGACAGGAGAGAGACGCTGCTCCCGACCCCGAGGGGGGAAAGCGTGTATCCCATATCCCAGGCTGCCGGGGACAGGCAAGGACCGGCCACCGCGGGGTTTCTACGCAGCCCCCGGGGAACCACGGCTGGCTGGGGGTGGCGGGGAGACTGGGCGCCCATGGGAGCGGGGAAGCGGGGAGGCGCCGGGGGGAGCCATGCAGGGTCCGGGCTGCAGGGATGTGGGCCGAAGAGATGGGAGATGGCGGGGAGGGCAGCCCGGCGGGAGGGGTGGACGACCGGGACCCCCCAGCCGCGAGACGGCCCAGCCCCGGCAGGGGTCGGGCGCGCAGGGCGCGTGCGGGGACGCACCTGGGTCTCCTCCTCGGAAAGGCCGGCCTCGGCCGCGATGAGGCACAGCGTGGTGGGGTCCGGGCGCTTGTGGACCTTGTTGAAGTTGTACTCCAGGATCTCCACCTGGTCCTCCGTGGGGCCGTTCGCCGTCTCCGCCGACATGGTCCCTGCGCGCTGCAGGGCGGGGAAAAGCGGCGGCGGTGAGCTAGGCGGCGGGCGGGACGCAGCGAAGGGAGGCGGTCGCGGCGCCACCCGGGCAGCCCCAGCCCCGGCCGCCCCCTCCCGCGGTGCCAAGGCCGCGCGAGTCCCCGGCGGCTGCAAGCTGAGGGGGGATTAGGGCTGCCCCAACCTGGGCCTCCCTCCCGGGACCGAGCGATGCTGCGGGCTGACGGCCGAGCCTCGCGTGCGGCGCCTCCTGTGCCCCCCGGGGACTCCTTGCAGCAATTCCCCCTGGATCCCGGCCGGCGACCTGGGTGAGGAAGATAACTGCGCAGGTCCTCACCTCCCTTCGGCTCTAAGGAAGGAGTGAAGGAGGCACGGGGGTAATTTTGAGAAATCGTCTTAAAAACTTCCTCCCGAAAGGGGGACCTCCCCTGGGGACAGATTTGACAGATCGCGAGGGTGGTGGGTTCGCCCGAGTCCGCGGCTAGCCGGGCTCCCCGGTACGCGGGCTTGTGCCTGTGCAGGGTTGGCGGTTTGGGGCCCTCTCCAGGCAGGGCTGCACACCCCACCCTTCCTCCAAAAACAGTTCCCCGCAAGACAAGTTACTTCTCAAAGTTGGGGAGATGGAGGAGGTGCTTTTAATGTCTTTCCGTTTTACAGAGCTGGAGATAGGTCCGCAGAGAAGTGATTTAAGGTGGGGAATTGAGCCACAGGAGAAATTTCCACCTCGGGGGCCTTCACGGGTCACTCTGCGCTCTGCGACCTCCTCCTTCAATCCTCTGCCCCTCCTCTTTCTAACTACACTTTAGTGAGTCCCCGCTAGTCCACAATTTACGGCAGAGAGCCTGCTTCACTGACTGCTCCCGGGTGGGAGGACTTGCAGGATGGAGCCAAAACCCATTGAGGAGGATCCAGTCAACCGTCTTTTATAATTTCAGACTTCCCTTGCGATTGTACGAAAATGTACTGTAAAGTCAGGAAAATGGGCCCATCGCAAGCTTCAAGATCTCTCGTATCTCCTTACTGTAGAGCCAAACATTACTCTAGCAAATTTGAGGCAACATGACTTCCTGCTGGGTTCTCTGAATTGGTCTCTGAATTGGGACCAAAAACTTAAAATTTTAAAAACTTGCAGATGTAACGCCCCCGTCCACCTCCTCCTCCTAATTTAAGAGGCAGGAAGGTGTAGAAAGCTGGAGTCTTCAAGACATTCTTGGCTGTGGGTTTGACACGTCTGTCAGGGCTTGACTGCCGCTGACAGTAAAAGACAAGCGCAAGCGTGGGAATCACGTTGGTTTGTTTTTTTAACAAACAATTGCAAAATCATCCAGCACAATCCTGAGTAGGTTGTGATATGGTCTGTGCCTGGGTTGAGCCATATTTCACTGATGGGCCAGGAGAATGTACCCAATGCTGTCATAACCTTCTCCACTGTATCCTGCATTTTCTACTTCCTAAATAAATGTCTTTACCTCTCCTCTAGGTCACTTTGAAGGGGCTTGGAGGCACAACAGGAAGTCATTCTACTGTGAGAGTCCGGCTCAAGTCACTTGCCAAGCCACCGTGAAATCCCATGTTTTTAGGGGATTCTACGCTTTCCATGCTTTCCCACCCAAAAATCTGTAGCACTGATTCCTGTCGCGGTGCTGAGGCAGGAGAGGGTCAGACTAGGTCAGAAGCACTTCCTCTTCTGTATGCACCCATTGCCCCTTCCTTTGACACACAACTTCAGAGCTGGGAAGAACTTTGGAAATTACCTCCTCCAGTCCTCTTCTCTAACAGCCCAGGAAAATGAGCATAGGAAAACTAACTTTCTGAATATTGCCTAGTTAAGAGACCTGTGCTCTGCTAGACCTTTCTCAGCAGGGCAGTCTGCCCTTAGTGTGGTAGGAAAAACCAGGAGGGCAGTAGTCATAATGCAGGCAGGAGCTCATTGCCATTTTGAATGGGCATGGACTGCTCTAGTAGGACACCAAGTCTAGCCAAAGTTGCCCACGGAAACCACCCACCACTGCTTGCTTTGCCTGAAAGAACACAAGGGCTGGGAGACAGCTGCCTCCGATTTTACTTCTGGCCTTAGAAAGGTTCCAGTTAATTTCACTTAACATAGTTGTGCAGGCTCTTCCAGGAAAATTTTGGCTTTTTCTTTGTAGAATCCTCAGTCCTTCAGAAATATTAGATTTCTAAACAGATGATTCTGCATATACATCACCCTCTTTTTTTGTTATTTAATTCCTATTATAAAACACAAGGGCTGCTACTGGTCTTACGTTTAATTTAGCACATTTTATTTTATTAGATTTCTATGGCTTCCTGTTACAGGTGTTTGTGTGAGATTCTGTGGGGAGGTCCGGGTTGACTTTAAAGAACTCATTGGGTTAGTTGGCTGAGAACCACTGGCCTTTGTTGGCTGCCAAGAAGACGCATGGGAGGACCATTTGAAAGCGCCTACTTCTCCAAGGTACACCAAACAAACTTGATTTCTAGAAACAAAGGTGAAATATCTCTACAGTCAAATGCATCTGTTATTCGTCTGCAAACCTCTCAGCCCTTTGCTTGACAAATGTTTGCTGTTACTTCGTTTCTTCTCTCACTCTGTCTCTCTTAAAGAAGATATAAATCAAACTGCCTGGGTAACCTTGGCCTTACAAAGCTTCTCAATGATTTCCAGCAAGACAACAGTCAAGAAGTTTCTCTGAAGATAGTCTAAACAATTTCAGATTAAAAGAACTAAAAATACTTTAAAGCTACTCAAATGTTAATCTTAGCACAAGTTTTATTGTTGTGGCTCTTCATATCTCATCAAACATTCAAAGAGTAATTTGTCCTGTGATTGTATTTTTCCTTTGTGGTTGGGGGAAGACATCGCATGAGCATTTCCAAGAGGTTAAATGCAAACTGCTGGCTTTTTTCTAAATTCCAATGCCTGGGGTACACAGTTGTGTCAAGCCGATGGCTCTACTTTTGTCCCCTAATCCTATAATCATTTATTTTTTAAATTATCTACCTATATAAACTAGCTCACAAAAAGCACTGTAGCACTGTCAACTGGGAATCTTTGGTTACCTAGGTAGTAACCAAAAAATTGCCTTGGGCTCACATTTGCCATCTTATCTTGCCTCTTCCAGCCATTCTGACCCCTTTGTAATGGCACTAATATCAAACCAAGAGAAAAAGGTTATCAGTGGCAGATTCTCCCCATAAATCCCGAGTCCTATGGTAAGTTGGCCAAAAAGGAAACAAGCAGGTGGATTATTCTTTAGCCTGTATTTCTTTTATGTTCACTGTGAACTTCCTGGAAGCAGTGGGCTCTTGAAACATTCTGTATTTTCCTAAGTAAGAAAAATGATGTGTGGCCAGTTCCACAAGAGAACTGGTGGGCCTTGGGAAGGCGTGGGGGTTTTCCCCTTCGTCACTTATTCAATTACTCTGAAGTGGGTAGGAGGGGCATCACTCAGGCTATCAAGGCCCCCCAGAAATTGAAAAATTGAAAAACAGAAGTGGAGTATTGATCTGCCTCTCCAGGCTAGCACAAGAGCTGGAGAGAGAGAGAGAATTGTTCTTTCAAGTATAAACTTCGTGGTTGGTATCCTTAACCTAACAGCAGTGTTCTCAAGCCTGGATGGGCTTCAGAATTACCTGTGGAAATGTCTAAGCCCACCATAGACCTCTTGAAACAGAACTGCATTTTAGAAACTTTGCACAGGAGAGACACAAAAAGTATTTCAGCTCTTAAAAGATTTGCAACTTAATCATTAAAATCAATCATACATATTCTTATGCCTTATGCCTGCTCTAATGCTGTATATCATCTTAACATTTAAGTAGATGGTAGGTTGAAGTTGTTTTAAAAGAATAAGCTTTTAGAAGTAGATATTGGAGGCTGGATGTGGTGGCTCATGAGTGTAATCCCAGCACTTTGGGAGGCCGAGGCGGGAGGATCACCTGAGGTCGGGAGTTCGAGACCAGCCTGACCAACATGGAGAAACCCTGTCTCTATTAAAAATACAAAATTAATGGGGCATGGTGATACATGCCTCTAATCCCAGCTACTCGGGAGGCTGAGGCAGGAGAATTCCTTGAGACCCGGAAGCGGAGGTTGTGGTGAGCTGAGATTGTGCCATTGCACTCCAGCCTGGGCAACAAGAGCAAACTCTGTACCAAAAAAAAAAAAAAAAAGAAGTAGATATTGAAGTGACTAATTTAAACCTAATGCTATTAATCTTTTGTATATGTGGTCAGAAATGGGGAAAATGCCTTCAAAATTATAAATTAGCAAAAGAAAAAAGTTCAGAAATGAAATAAAACACTTTTAAAAACCTTTCAGAAATATGCATTCTGTGTTGAGATCACTCATGCATTCGTGTGTTGAGATCAGAGTTTAAGAAAGCAAATCATCAGAAGGAAAACTCCTTCCACTTCATCACACATATTTCAAGTAAATGACTTAGAAGCCAGAAATCCCAATGGAAGAGATTTGGCAATCTTAAGTATGATTGTTCTCTAATTCCTTAAGTTTCCCAATGAGGGAAATGCTAAAATTTAAATTATTATTTACTCACCAAACATATTTAATAGAACTTAGAACTGAACATTCCTCTGAATACATCCCAAATACATAGCATCACTGCTACCTTTACGGGAACAAGATCCCAAATCTAAATAGGAAAATGCATTTTAAAATGCTCTATTGATTTCAATTTTACATATTTTAGAAAACTGGAGAGAAATCCCACAAAATGCTAACAGTGGGTTATATCTACGTGTAACTATGGATAATCTAAAACATTTTCTTCTTTATATTTTTCTGCTTTTTCAAATTTTCGATAATAAGCATTTATTACTTTGGGATTTGAAAAAAAATTTTCCCTATATAAAAATGTCCTCAATCAGATCAGCTGGTCCACCTTGCTTAAAGTTTTATTTGATTATTGATACCAAATAACATTTTTGGAAAAGTATGAGAGTTGTTTTCCAAGACTACTTAGAAGATTAGGGAAGTAAATATTTTCATTTTTCATGCAAACACTTTTAGGTATCAAGTGGATAGATGTAATGTACATGTAAGTTATGAAGCATAAATTAATTAAATAAACACTAGTGAACCTCGCTCAATTTAAGAATTAAAGCATTACCAAGACTATGGAAGCTATCTATTCTTCTCCCTGAGTCCCATCCCCTTGCTGACCTGCCCCCAGAAAAAAACACAATTCTGAATTTTGTATTAATAATTCCTTTGCTTTTCATTTCAATTTAATTTTTAGAGACAGGGTCTCACTGTCTCCCTCAGGTTGGAGTGCAGTGGTGCAATCACAGCTCACTGTAACTCCTGGGCTCAAGTGATCCTCAGGTCTCAGTCTCCCGAATAACTGGGATTGGAGGTATGCCACTGCCCTTTAAATTATTTCTATCACATATGTATAGATCCCTAAGAGAACCTTTTTTTTTTTTTTAGTTTTGCTCTTCATTTGTACAAAAATGGTGTCATACCATATATAATTTTTCTATAAATTGCTTTTTTCACTTAACAGTGTTTCCAGAACTCATCCACATTCTGTGTATAGAGAAGTTCATTCATATTCAATGCTGTTTCCATTTTGTGAATATACAATTTATGTAGTAGATGTCTTTTCCTACTGGTGGAGCTCTAGGTTGTTTTTTGTTTTTTTTTTTTTTTTTTTTTGAGACGGAGTTTCGCTCTTGTTACCCAGGCTGGAGTGCAATGGCGCGATCTCGGCTCACCGCAACCTCCGCCTCCTGGGTTCAGGCAATTCTCCTGCCTCAGCCTCCTGAGTAGCTGGGATTACAGGCACGCACCACCATGCCCAGCTAATTTTTTGTAGTTTTTTAGTAGAGACGGCGTTTCACCATGTTGACCAGGATGGTCTCGATCTCTTGACCTTGTGATCCACCCGCCTCGGCCTCCCAAAGTGCTGGGATTACAGGCTTGAGCCACCGCGCCCGGCCTTTTTTTTTTTTTTTTTTCTATTTGAACATTGCCTCTCTGAACATTATTGTACATGCCGTCTGAAGCCTATGAGGATTTCTCTAGGATATACAGTAGAGGTAGAACTGCTGGTTTATAGGGTGTGTGCTGTCTAGCTTTACAATATAATATCAACTTGTTTTGTAAAGTTGTTGAACAAAACTACCCCCTGACCGTCAGTGTATACTATTTCCTTTGCTCCAAATCCTCATCAACACTTGTAGGTCAAAGTTAGTTTTTGCCAAAGTTGTTTTGTATTCTTTTTATCCATGAATAGTATCTACGCCTTCTTGAAGCTATTTATGTTTTCAGCCTGCATGACATCTTGGGGCTAAAAGTTTCCACATGTTTGCTGTTTACTGTGTAGAAGTATTTCCCGTTGCAGCCCAAAAGGGGAGTGGAGATATTTTGTGAGAGTTATGGATGCTGTTTCCAGGCTAGCCCAGTTATTTCCATTGGTCGCCAAGAACAATACAAATAAAATGTATGGAAAACTAATTACTAAGACCTTTTGTCTGTGTCATGCTAAAAATGTTACCATTTCCCCTTCTACAGAACTCCTGGGAGTCAGGATTTGTTTTTGCACTTTAAAATATGTTAGCCGTATTATTGATCCCTCCCACAAAAGTAAATATCAGTCTCCAAATGAACCACAGACATAGATTGAAAATGACTAATTAAAGAAGAGGAAATAAGGGAGAGATGGACAGAAAGTATAAAAGAAAAATGAAAAGAAAGTGTAACAGAAAACTCTTAGGCTGTGGGTTTAAAAAAGGATATACATGTAAATTCAAATAATGTGCTTAAATGTTTAGACAGCTGACAGCCAGTTCAAAAGTAGTTTGATATTAGTTATTATCATTTCTCTCACAATCCTCGCTTAGAAATCAGAATGGAATTAGTTCTGTTTTCAGGTTTCTTTAAAAAACATTAATTTGTCTACAGGATCAGAGAAAGACTCAGAATTCTACCTTTTATTCTAGCTGTAGCAGCAAAGGCTCTTGATTTCATAAGCATCAAGATTGATTTATTCATCCAAATATATTATTTTCTTTTTTTTATTTTTTCAGATGGAGTCTCACTCTGTTTTCCAGGCTGGAGTACAGTGGTGTGATCTTGGCTTACTGCAACCTCTGCCTCCCTAGTAAAAGCGATTCTCCTACCTCACCCTCCTGAGAAGCTGGGATCACAGGTGCACACCACCACTACTGCTAATTTTTGTATTTTTAGTAGAGACGGGGTTTTGCCATGTTGGCCAGGCTGGTCTCGAACTCCTGACCTCAAGTGATCTGCCTGCCTCCACTTCCCAAAGTGCTGGGAGTACAGGCATGAGCCACTGTGCCAGCCCCGCAAATATATTCTTCTCATGCCTACTGATATCAGAGGTTCTAAGCTATCACCAAATCACCTATTTGAATCTTAAAGCTCTAACTTAATCATCATGTGTCCCTTTAGTGAAGAGTTGGGACTGGAGGCAGCCAGTGTTTTCTTTCTCACTGGGGGACAGGCCATTGTCAACCTTCTCCTGCTTCATGACCTTGGCTACTGGGGCGGCATTCTTTCAGACTTTTATGCATCTCTTTAAAAGCCCTAACATCTACTTGACATAAGGTAATAAAGATAATGAAATCTTTCAAGTTTTGTCCTGATTCCATTTTTCACAAGAGTCCATTGAAATGCAGACAATTTGTGCAGGTTGTTCCTTTGTTCTGTAAAGTCTGAGCTCTTAACTTTTGACCTCATGTAACAGTTACAGGTACATACCGAACCACTTGCTAATTCAGGACAAGCAAGCATGCTGTTCTCCTAGAACATGCTGCACTTGACTTGATGAG